AATGCTTTACTTAATTTTCCTTTTAATTTCAACAATTCCAATAATAGTGGAGTACTAGAATTATGTTGTAATAATACTCAGTGTTTACCTTCTCCTTCTAATTTTTGTAAATCGCCCTCTAAAAGTTTTTTTTGTAATAAAATTTCCCAAACGACATTTTGTGGATATGAGTGGTGTGGAGGAATTATTGGTGATAATCCCATCACTACTAATGCGACTGTGGGAAAAGATTGCTTCATTTTTGCCAGTAGCACTCTAGCTTCTGTAGCTAACTATGTAGCAACCATTCCCACTAATAATTTTCTTGGTTGAGATAAAGGTTACGCTTATTATAATTGTCCATATGGTAGCCCCTGTTATAGTTTAGCTTGCCACTGAGACAGCGGTGGCTGAACGTGTCCTTCCGTTTATTATACGGATTATACAAGCAATAATAATTGCTTCTTACAATGAACAGCTCCTTTTCCTAGTGCTACTACTAGTACTAATCTACCAGCAACTACTTCAACTAATCCTGTTTTTCACTATAATCTTTCTTCCGGAGAAATCGGTGGCATCGTTGGAGGGTCAATGGGAGGAATTTTTTTAATTCTAGTAATAGTACGTTTTTATTTTCTAAAAGGGTGAGCCATAATTTTTTAAATTGCTTTTGCTTACAGAACCGCAAAGATTATAAGTGTTCATTTTTTCCAACAATAAATTATTCCGGCCGCTACAACTAAACACATTATAACACTGACCGGAATAGCAATTTTTTCAATTAAGTGAGGATCGCTAGTTAAAGCGTTTGCTAAGTCAGAGGTAGGTATTGGAATAATGGTTGAAGTTTGAGAAAAAGGGTTTTTTTCGGCGGGACCGGGCCATTGAGCTGATCACATTACTAAACAGTTGGAACTTAAACTTTCGTGTATTACATACTCAGAGGAACACATTCAACCACCATTATCTCAATTACATGTACTAAACCAATATGCTAAAATACCACAAGGGCTACCAGTTGGACAATTATATTGAGCATAACTTCGATTCAGGCCAGTGAAATTGCTAGTAGGAATAGTTGCTAAATAACTAGCGATAGTGTCAAGATTGACGTTTTTTGTTGTGCATCCCCCTCCCACAGTCGCATTAGTAGTGATGGGATTATCACCAATAATTCCTCAACAATAACGATCTCAACAAACTATATCCTGAACAACCTTAGTGCAATAAAATAGCCAATAATCATCAGCACACGATCCTTTATTTTCCGGGGGAGAACACTTAGTATTATTGCAACAAAGAAACGTTTGCGTTTCATTATTTATTATATTGAAATTAAAGGAGTAGTTGAGTAGTGAATTGTAAGGAAGGTTGACACCATACCCAGAACGATAAGTCAAACAATTATTAAAAGCTTGTCCCGCTCCTACCCTACTAACTGACAGCCAAGTAATTAACAATAAAGAAATTATCTTTTTTGTAGTTCAAATTTAAGGAAGACTTAATCTCATTTTTTATCACTCATTATACAAACTTTTTCCAGAAAAATTTTACTCCTTTTTATCCTTCCAAACCCAAAACTAGATCTAGTCCGTTATTTACTTTTCGCATGGTCTCTCCGTCGGCTTTTCCTAAATACTCGGTTATTCTGGTTTTTTTATCAATACTGCGAATTTGATTAAGTAAAATTTTGCTCGGATTTTTTAAACCTGTTTTTTCGTCAGCATTAATAAAAACTTCAAACAACCGCACCTTTTTTAAAGTGCTAGTAATAGGGGCTACAATTAAGTAATGTCCGTGTTCGTTTTGTTCATTAATGGAAACTACTAAGCCGGGATGAATATCTCTAATTTCTTTACCGCGAGTAGGGTTAAAGTTAAACTTGTAAATTTCTCCGCGATGCGGAAAATCGTGCGGAAATAATTTATTCATCATCTTGCTTTAAACCATCGTTAATGGCTTCATCCCAACTAGATAATTCTTGATTTAATTCCTTATCCCGGGCCGCATCTTGGTAATCAGCAACTAATTGTTGCCGAAAAACATTCGCTTCTTTTTTTAGTTGTTCCTCTACTGCTTTGTTAACAAAACGGCTGACTTCTTTTTTTGAAATAAGACCTTTAATTTTGCTAAAATTTTCCTCGGTAAAGTAAATATTGAGATTGCGACCTGTCATAATATTATTTTTACATACTTACTTACTTTACTAACTTAATTATTTTTTCCCTTTCCCAAATTTCTGTTTCTCTAATCACAAACGCTTTTTCTCGACCGTAGCAGGCAAGTGATTATAAATTTCGTTGTATTTGTCCTTATAGGCCTTTTTTCAAGCCGGGTCTTTTCAGTCTTTTTTTAGGCCGGTGGCTTGCTCTAATTCCTCAATGTTAACCTTGACTTCGTTAGCCAGAGAAATTTTTTTCGGCTTAACAGATTTAGGTTTTTCCTTTGGGAAATTGGCTAATGGTTGCCGTAAATTTTCTGGTTCTTTTAGCGAGGTTTCTAACTGTTGGCATTTTCGGCAAGACTCAGGGGTTGGTTTTTGGTTGCTGAGTGCTTTGGTTAACTCACTCACCATGGCTAAAATTTCGGCATTATTGCGGGCTTGCTCTTGGCAATGTTGGCGAATTTCTTGCTGGAAAAGAGTAATTTGGTTAAGAGTAGCAGTGATAGCCGGAGGAATATTATTTTTCGCTTGGCTTTTGGGTATAATATTATACTTTCTTATACCTTTGTTTCTTATACTGGTTTTGCTTATACTTATACCCGGTATAATATTTGAATTTATTAAACTTTTTCTTTGCTCGATTATAGGTGTGGGATCCTCTCCCCGTTCACGGGCATACTTGATAAGCATAGAGAGGCGAGCATACTCTTTGGCTTTAATCGGGTCTTTGATGGGCACGGTGTAATTATTATACTTTTATTAGGTATTATACCTATTATACCAAGTTAAATTAAAACATAATGAAATTAACAAAACTATCCAAAACAAAACGATTGTTATTGTTATTTCTGTTGGTTACTCCAGTTATGGGAGAAATGGTAATCAACTTTGATGGTTTACCAAGTCCTTGACCGATTGCTTTGATTAGTGCTCTTATTTCAATTAGCAGCATTTTCTTATTTGAAGGAACTAAGACCTCCTTTAACTTACTTTCTAAAGCAACTTTGGGTTATAGCATAATTCGCTCAATATTATTACTAGTTAACAGCATGAATTCTCTCCGGGCCCACGGAGTTGCAGGTTTTCAGTATCCGGAATTAGCTATATTGAATGTTTTACCTTTAATTCCTTTAATGTTTTCTGTGAAAAAAGGAATAAATTTTTTAGAAAGCGGCCAATCATTGCCAGGACCAAGTTGATTTGACAAAAAAATCAAAAAAATAACTATTTCTTTAAAAGGCATTTTTCATCGACAAAATAATGACCAAGATATAGAGTTACAAGAAAGGCAATCAACTACTCCCGCTTCAGAAGCCTTAGGAGGAAATTCAATTAGAGAAGAAAACCAGCCA